GGCTTTCTCTCTGCTCTGGCCCCTGACTTCGGCCGGGTTCCGACAGTACGATGAGTTACCCCACTACGGAGGCATGGACGGAGTAGGGGTGCCCGCTTCCATGTACGGAGACCCTCATGCGCCGCGGCCGATCCCCCCGGTTCACCACCTGAACCACGGGCCGCCGCTCCACGCCACGCAGCACTACGGAGCGCACGCCCCGCACCCCAATGTCATGCCCGCCAGCATGGGATCCGCTGTCAACGACGCCTTGAAGCGGGACAAGGACGCGATCTATGGGTAAACCGACCCCCCACCCCCCGACCCAGCTCTGTGTTGGAGTGTGAGTGCGAGTGTGTGTGTGTTTCTATGGGAGGGGGGTGTGGGTGACTCAGTGGAGACTTATTTCTGCTTGGGGATGGTGGTGGAAAGGGCAAGGAAGGGGGCCTGCTCTTCTGCTGCTGCGGTGCAAGTTCCGGAAGCTATGGCTTCCTCCACTCCCACGGCCGGGTCACTCTAGACCCCTTAGCCCGGAGTGCCTGGGTCCTCGGAAACTGGCCGGGCCTCCTCCCCCGGGGCAGGATTCCTGGCCAGAGGACGCAGAGCTGGCCCTTGCAGGGCCCCTCGCAGAGGCCTGGACTAGGGGAAAGTTTTCCTGCGAAGAGGAGCAATGTTTTTTCCCCCCTCTTCTGCTTCCTACCGGGGTCTGGGAGTCAGTAAACGCTGCTTGAACTGAGATCAGGGCTGCCTCTGTCGGCCAGGAAGTCCTAATCACCCACTTCTTAATTCTCTGTAAATAAAGGGGCAGACCTTGAAGTGCAGCGGGGTGGAAGGCACTTCTGCTTGGGAAGAGCTGCTCGTGAGGGAGGAGTAAGGGGAACGGTTGAAAATAATGCATTATTCGGAGAGAACCTGGGGAGGGACAGCGGTGTGCCGTGACACCCGGGTATCGCCCGGTCCGTCCGGAGAGAAGGCAGCGGGGTGCCCGGAGGGGGGGCGGTCCGTAAAGGCCCACTGAGCCCGGAGCCAGAGGCCGCAAGCATCCCAAAGTGCAGCTAACCGCCGGCTGGAACACAAAGGGCAAACGCGCACGCACACTTCCAAGTTTTGACACAGGATTTATTTTTGTCTGCTGCAACGCTGGGAGAAATGTGGTCTTTGGAAGGACGCTCTTCAGAGTTTAACATTCCTGTTATCCTGGCCCTCACACCCATGCTTTACTAGAAGGCCAGCAAACAAGTTTATAAGGCAAGGGGGTGGAAAGGTTAGGGGCGCATTCGCTCCGATTTGAGCACTGTCACTCCCGGGGTGCCTGTAGGTGAAGCCTTGGGCCTCCTTTGAAATTCTCATTAAAACGCCAAGTTAAAACAATTTCTTTTTTCATTGCAGTTTCCCTGGGCTTGGGGGATGGGGACGGAGGTCAGGGCTGGGTCGCAGGGGTGGCTCCTGCGGCCTCTGCCATGCGGGGCGTCGCTCTGGATTAAGGATGGGGCTCCAGGTGGCCCGAGCGTCTTGGGTGTCTCAGTCGGTTCCCATGGAGGCTAGTTTCTCTCGGCCGGCTAACGTGGCAGGGGGCTTCTCGGGCCGGAGCCCAGGGACTTCTGAACCCCGGGAAAGGGCCCGGCCGCTTTTCCTTTCTGTTTCTGGCCCGGCTCAGCTGGCTGCGGAAGGGTTGTCAAGGGTGGTGCGTGCCTGTGGTGTTACAGAAGGGATCCGCACCCTCCAAACTTGTTGATTACAGTTCTTGCTCCTTCCCCTCTGCACCCCGTCTCCGTGTGTGTGTCTCTGCGTGGCGCTGCCCGTTAGGCACCCGTTGTTTCCTCTGTTAGCTCTGGTCTTTGAGAAGTGCGAGCTGGCGACCTGTACTCCCCGGGAACCCGGAGTGGCCGGCGGAGACGTCTGCTCCTCCGACTCCTTCAACGAGGACATCGCAGTCTTCGCCAAGCAGGTCCAACCTTCCCGACCCACTCACCCGCCCTCAGCCCCTCACTCCTCCTCCCGGAGGAGGAAAAAGCGGGGACACCCGATCTCTTGCTCCGGCCCAGCCAGCACGCCTGGCCTTGCCCCCATCGCAGAGCCTGGAGGCGACTGGGAAGCGGAGATAAATATGGGTGTTTGTTCCCGCCCCCCAAGCCAGGAATACCGGGGCTCGACCCTGGAATTAAAGTTGACCTGCTCCTAATCTGGGGCTTGGCCTTCACCCCCCCCCACACACACACACCCCACCCCCACCCCCCCGCAGCTCCTTGAGGGAGAATTGGGGATAGGGGCTGCGGGACACCCGGGAGTGCCCTGGAGGGGAGGAAACGGGCGCCTCTCGCTTCTGACTGTCCCCACTGGGCGCAGAGGTGGGGGGCGGGGGTCACAGCCTCTGGACAACCGGGTGAGGGGCTCCTTGGGGCGCAAAGAAGGGCCCTGAGTTGCTGCCACCAGTTTAGCGGTTCCAGGCCCTCACCCCCACCCCGTGGGGCGAGGGCCAGAAGGCCCAGCAGCCTCTTCAGGCGACCCCACTAATTGAAGGCACTGGTCGGTGTCCTTCATGTTACCGAAAACCACCTCTCTGCGGCTACAGCCCCAGCCCCGGTCACTCGCTACCGTCTACGTCCGTGGCAGGGCTTTGCTTCGCCGACGGGGGCTTTCCATTTACGCGGACTGTCCTCGCTTCCTCTAGGTCCGCGCCGAAAAGCCACTTTTCTCCTCCAACCCAGAGCTGGACAATTTGGTAAGGCACTCGGTTCCTTGCGTTCACCTCCCTCCCTGACCCACCACTGGTCCCTTCTTTCTCCTCGATCTCCTGGGAGTTGAGGCCCAGGGCCCTGGGGAGCTCCAGGGCAACAGGCTAGGAGGGATTCGCCTCCAGCCCCCAGGGGAGCTGGGGGTCTGGGGGGGAGAGGGGTGCCCGTTGGAGGGGAGCCGGGACGCGGGGCCGGCGCGCCAGGGCAGGGCTCGGTGCTGGGGCCTCGGCCCGGCGAGGGAAGCTGCTGGAGAAGCCAGCGATTTCCCGGCTTTGCGGGGCTGGCGGGCGAGCCCCGGGCCGCCAAGCCGGAGGAAGTCACCGCCGGCCGGGCGGAGGGGCGGGTCCCGTGGGGGGGGGGGGTGAGGGGCAGACCCCGCGCAGGCCACTTTTAGGTGCTAATTTGCACGATTTCAATATTAAAAGTACTTAAATCCGCTTTCAAAGGCCTGCCTCGCCATTCAGCTGGAGTATTTCCTTCTTTAGGAAGGACGGATTTTGCAGGGTGTGCTGCTCTAAAAGCCTCCTCTCGCCAATGAAGCCACTTTTCTTTTCTTTTTTTTTTTGGCCTGAGGTCGCGGGAGGAGACCGTTTAAAGAGGACCGAGGCCAAGAAAGAGGGTCTGGTCCTAGAAACAGTCCTGACAAAAGTCCCGTGAACGTGGGAGGCGGAGGTGGGGCGGGGGGCGGAATTAAATGCTTAGGCTTGGGCTGAGACAGATTCCTAACCCCGTGGCCAATGAGGCAGAGATGATCTGTAATCACTTGGTTTTGCTGAGTATTTTCTTGATGTGTGGGTTTGGCCCGGCCACCTGCCTGCTTTTCTAGAGCCCACTTCCGTCTCAGTGCCCTAACTCCACCCTGTAAACTTTTCTTTCAGATGATCCAAGCAATCCAAGTGCTAAGGTTTCATCTTTTGGAGTTAGAAAAGGTAAGCAGGAAAGGACACCTCCCGTTTGGATTTAGCGTGTCCCTCTCCTAGGGGACCTGGGATGTTTTTAAAGAGATAGAGGTCTTGGGCACCTGGGGGATTGATTATGAGCCACACTTCTTTCCTTCAAATTGCTCCTCCACTCAGGGCCTCAGAGGAAGGGCGAATTAGGACAGCCCTAGACATTTTTTTTAAGGAGCCCCCACCCCACCCGTCTTTTTTTCCCCCCAGGTGTTCAGGATTGTTTTTGAAATGCAGCAAACCATTTCTGTTACAGGACACTCAGCCTGCTGACTCTATTAGCTCAGCTTCGGCCCCAGCCTGCATTAGGTGCAGACTGAGGGAAAAATCGTCCTGGCTGGGTGTCTTTCCATAGCTCGGCAGCTCAGTCACTTTCCCCTGGAAACATACAAAACTTGTGGCTTATTGAATCGCAGCTGCTCATGCTGGTCCCCATTCCGGTGTGTAGTGTTTGGATGTTAGCATCAAATCGGATTTTCCTCCCTGGACTCCCCAGTCTGAACCCAGTTATTTCTAGTCCCTGTTCCTTTCACTCCCTCCGTGGTGACTTGTTGCTCAGGGAAGTCTCTGGAGAATAATATCTCCGGCAACAATTGCTCTATTGTTTCCTTGCCTTCAACTATTACGCCCCTTAATTAGAGTTAGTTTGGAACACATCACACTCGAGCTCTTCCCTAACCTAACCTTACAACCTGACATTCTTCCCCTTTGAAAATGAAACCATACGTCCACCACGACCACCACCACAATGGGAGCTGACTCCTCCGTCGTGACCCTCCTCCTAGGTCCACGAACTGTGTGATAACTTCTGCCACCGGTACATTAGCTGCTTGAAGGGGAAAATGCCCATCGACCTCGTCATTGACGAAAGAGATGGCAGCTCCAAATCAGACCACGAGGAACTTTCAGGCTCCTCCACAAATCTCGCTGACCATGTAAGTCTGAGAGCCTTGGCCTTCTTTAAAGGCCACTGGGCAAAAACCATTGTTGTTATTATTTTTAAACTTGTAACTTCTATCTTGGGAAGCATAACAAACCAGGGAGGTGGCCCAGTGGGTTGTGCTCTTATTGTGAAAAGTTACCTGGTTTGGGTTTGGGTGATGTTGCCTGTTAGTAAATTGTCTCTTTGATGTGATGACTGCTACCCTTTTATCCCCCCTCCCCCTCCAATTCTGTCATCAGTGCAGCCCTGGGAGTAGAAAGGGGAAAGAATTCAGCTAGGGGACAGGATGGTAGAGAGAGAAGAAGGCTTGAAGGAATGAGAACTGGGGTCTGATGGTTGATTTCCCAGTCTCTCACAGAGGTGACAACCCTGAGAATTATTGGCAATCTTGCCTTGCATTAGAAATAAAGGAAGGAGTGAAAACATTACAATTCTCAGGGCTTTTGCTGTATGGAAACTTATTGCCAGAATATGGACTTATTGCCAAGTGCCTGGAGCATCTTCATAATAAAGGACAGTAACCTTGATGAACCAATTATTAACAATGTATTACAGAAAGCTGAGGGAGTTATGATTGAGTAACCATAGGTTAGTGGCTGAATTTTAACACTTTAACAGTTGGTGAATGAGGATGAAGGGTATAGTTAAGGAATGACTGTGTGCCAGGCCAGGAAAGGAGATTTTTCTCTATTCTCTCTGTTTTCAATCCTATTTTGGAACTGATCTAGTGAGTCTGATGCTCATCAGAAAAAAAAAAAACATATGTAGTGAGACTGAACATTTGAAAAAGAAGCAAAGAGGAGAAAGATTGCAGCTGGTAGGAGAGGCAAGAGTGGTGAGGTTAAAAAGAGTGGGTGTGAACAGTTTATTTATAGGAGCTCAAGCCTGGGGGTGGGGGACAGATTGTCTATAGATACTGCAGTCAGTTGAACTCAAACCTAAATGACATAGGCTACCGTCTAAAAACTTTGGGACTGAAATATTAATTTAACACCGGGTGTGGAGGTACACAGGCATTGAGACGGGAGGAAGTTTGTGTCCTTGTCACCCCCAATTCCTGAGTGTTCAAGAGTTGAGGTGTCAATGGAAATGTCAAGATTGCCAACCTGAGTCGAGATGCAGAGTGAAGGGACCTTCTCTGAGCTTCTTCTCTCATCTCACCAAAAGTTTTTGATAGGATGCAGTCAGACGGTGTAATCATTAACCTTTATGCTGTATGGGAAGCCAATCTAAGAACACAGGTGTTTAAACAAGATAGGAAAAAACCCAAACTCTGCGATGTCCAGCTCTGACACACAATAAATACTTTGGTGTTAAAAATCCTCGCTTGTATCTTCTTCTGTGGTGGAAGGAAGACTTTTGGGACACCCTTTTTATGTTGAATGCATTAAGCAAAACCCCAGAGGTGCATGCAGCTGCAGCTAACCAAACCAAATGAATTGCAAGTCCTTGCAATGGAGTCAGGACCAACTCATAGAGGCCCCCACGGGGTTTCCAAGGCTGTAATCTTTATGGAAGCAGACAGTCAGGTCTTTCTCCTGCGTAGCTGTTGGTGGGTTCTAACCACTGACCTTTCCGTTAACAGTCAAGCAGTGCTTAACCACGGTGCCACCAGGATTCCTGGCTGCAGTAGCAGCTATGAAAAGTTAATGGGTTGAACCGTGGCTATCAAGAGGTGCGACTGCAATCCAGAAGACCTGACACGCTCTCTCTGAAGCGTTTGCTTCTGGGGCTGTTTGCTTGTTTTCCTCATTTCTTGTTTCTAAAGTCAGATGCATCAGCATTATGGGAGGAAGGGAAAGACTTCTACTTCCATGGTTTGTAGGATGAGAGAGAGGTCTATAGCCAGAGAAGCTTGCCTTTTCCAGGGATCTCAACTCCAGGTTTTCTAGAAGAGATTTCTTGGCAACTGTTTCTTGAGCGGATGTATGGATCTAGAGCATGCTGATGTTTATACAGAAAAGATAGAGAAAGTAGGCTGTTTAGAGTACTGGCTGGCAGACAAATGCCCATGGGAGGACTATTGTAATATTTAAATATATACTCAAGGAGGAATTTGTATCTAAGAGGTTAGTGGTTTCATCATTTAATAGGCATCAGCCTTGCATGAAAGAGTCCGCTGTAACATTTGTTGCTCCCCGTTCAGGCCCCGATCAAGTGAATATGACAACTGATTTATTTTGAACCCATGAGGGCTTGCCACCTCATTGGGCGTCATAATTTAAAGCTTTTTATTTCCTAGAGATCTGAACTATAACATTTTTACTTCAGCCCCCTGCTATTTGTTTTGAAAGGAAGCAATAATTTGTTCCTCCAGCTCACCGAGTGGGAACTGGAGAGGCTTGCCACAGACTTGTATTTTATGCAGGAGGTGAGAGAAAACCTTGGAGAGATTGGGCCACGTTCATATTGATGGTTTTTGTGGTAGGCCGCCTCCTGTGCTTCAACCGGTCCTTAAAAGACTCATGCCCAGACACCCCTCCCCACCCCCACCCCCACCCCAAGCACCTACCCTCAGCCACACACACAAAAGTGAAAATACTACTGCATCACTACCTGGAAAGTGGCTTGAGTGGAACATTTTCAGCATGTAAATGTGTCCAATTTGAATCTCCAGGTTTATTTTTTCATTTGCTTTGATATGCATATTTAATACATTGCCCCAGGCTGGATCTCATTTGGTGAACGCTGGTGTATGGGTGATGCTGGGCCACTTCAGAAGGACCCCGACAGCCTGTTGTTTTCTCTGTTGGCCCACCATTCTGATCTACTGAGCTTCCTCGTGGTTTTATTTGCACGTGAAATGCTGAGAGCATTTCAACTTACTGGCTATGAATGATGACAGCTAAAAAAGAAGGGGAGTTTAATTTGTTGCGTGCCAAGGTTTCTCTTGTGGAGGTGACAGTTTGTGACAGCTGTTTGACACCCCCAAAACATATACACCTCTATCCTTATTAAGTGGTATCAAGCTACATTGTGTGTGTGTGTGTGTGTGTGTGTGTGTGTGTGTGTAAGGAGGGTGCAGGGGAAGGAGGGAGAGAATGAAAGAGAGAAAGGAGTAAATAAGTGTGTAATTCTGTGTAGTAGAAAGCAGAGAGATATGCGTCAGAAGCAACATATTAGGGACTAAAATAGCTTTTGATTTTCTTATTAAAGAATTTGAAAATAGAAATGAATCACAGCAATTGATATAAACATCTTGAAAGCAAGTATTATTGGCAGACTTTTAAGAATAAATTTTATATACTCAATATTACTTGTGCTAATTACACATTCCATAATTTTATATAAATAACCTGATATAAAGCATAGCTGTATTGCTTGTAAAAGACAACCATAAGTCTTACTTTCCATGCTTTATATTCAATGACGATACTGAATCTATTCATCTGTTATTAATACTTACATGGTGGGCATTATGAGGAAAAGATGTTTGGAAATGAGATAACAAAAAATTTTTTTAATGAAACACTAGCTATTATAATTCTTTTGTGTTTTGTAACTTCAACTTCAAAATGAATGCATATACTTTAGTATTACAATATATTTTATCGTATACCCTCATTGTACACGTCATAGTTATAGGTAAGGGATGCTACTATAGTGTCCTTGAAATATTAGGGAGAAAAATACATGATGGTGAAAGGAAATAGCAGTTCATGTTGTTTCTCAGACATTCAAATTTATCACGTTAAAATTAAATATGCCAAGAAATGGATTTTGTTTTAGAGTTTCGACTCGAAAACTGTGTGGGATGACCACCCTAGTCTGTAGTATTCATGAGTGCTAGATCATATCCATTCTGTTTATCTGCGTAACTGTAATATGCTCTTCAGAAAAAAGAGATGTAGGATACACTTGTTTGAAATGTGTTTTCCAAGCTAAGTTGTATTTGCTTTCATTGCATATGTAGTTAGAGTGTTATTCCTGGTTCATGCTCATAAGGATCCTACATTTTATTTTCCTTCAAAGAATTAAGACAGAGAAGCAATATAATCGAGACTATTACCTTAATGACAAGTGTCTTAAACTTGATTCGCTCTGATAGCACCACTAAGAAAAAAATTTATTTTAATTTCTATGTTGACAGTTGTAAGTTAGATGAAGATATGCTGGTATTTTCTTCTGCATATCTGAATATGCACAAGTTTATTTATACCTATAGGTGTTTTTTTTTTTAATGGGCTAGGTTAGAGGAGAGACTCCCCAGAACCTTGTTCCCAATGGAAGGCACCCAAGGACTTACAGATGAATTCCATTTCTCTCAGAAAAATTTTAAGGAGGGGTGGGCAGCGGAGAGCGGAATACGTTTAGGTGGCATACTGTCAAAGGGGAAATAATGAGATTTGGTAAGGTTATTAGTAAGAAGGTTGACTTCTTTTATGAGATCGCTTCTTAGGTTCTAGTCTTACCCAAGTTATCTAGTGTTATTCAAGATCTGTGAGGGTTCCCCTCAGTAAAGTGCTCCTCCCTCTGAGCTCTGTGTGCCCTGGAGACAGAGCTGGGGCATGGGTTTTCTTTCATTGTACTACTTCCTAGTTTCTAGTGGTTGATAGTTTTCTTGTCAATGCCCCATCAAGGCTAATTATACTATTTAAATCATCCAGGCAATGTCCTTGGAGTCTATTTTCAGGGTAAGTGTGATGGAGATGAATGAAGTTAAAGGTACACTTGTCAACCACGTAGGCTTTCACCACCAGATGAAAATTTGCTTATTTTTGGAGTTTGTTTTTTTTTTAGCCTAGATGTTCTATGGGTGTCACCATACATTTCAAAATGACAGGACCCTTTTTATAAGATAGCATTCTACCAAAGCTACAAGAAGAATTTTGTCTTTTCTCAAAGTTTTTCCGTTAAATGGAGAAATCGTTTGCAAAAAGGTGCTTGCCACGTCCTTGGGAGTAGCTCACATGTTATTTCTTGGAGCTCAATAGAGAGATGGACATGGGGAGGAGATGAGGGAAGGACCGGGGCTGTATTTACATTTTTAAGGAGTGAGTCCTTGTTCTGAAAGCACACAGAGTTCTCCTGAGTTCTTATGCCAACTTTAGAATAATGAAGGAGGAATTCCAACTTTTTTATTTTTTAAACCCCACAGTGAACATTTTTCTACTGCTCATAGACTTGAGTGCTTCAGGAGAGGGGCCCTCACTCTCTATTTTGTAACTTTAGCGTCATGTCAATTAGGAGCTAAAGTGCCAGGAAGCCAAAGGGAAAAGGTGGCTTCTTATTAATTGCGTGTAAAGTTATAAGTAGATCTTGCTTTTATTGCTGACATATAACAAGTCAGATTAGTTTGGCATGCTTCCTTTGCTGATTAAAATATCTTTATTTGTGCTTATTGTTTCTCTACCTAAAAGCACCGATTCCGAGTTACTTTACTGTGGTTTGCAAGCTCACATATAATTTTTATCTTGAGCGTGCACATTATGTTTTCATTTTGTAGGCGCTAGAGAAGCGAATGCTTATTTGTAAGCGTTTAAACAAACAAACAAACAGAAATATTAAGAAGAACTGGAAATGATCTTAGGAATCATCTGGACTCAATCTGATGTTACAGAGATGCAGGTGCTCAGTACCAGCGAAAGGAAGGGCATCCCTTGCCTAAGGTCACGTGCTGCGTTTGTTAGAGGCGGTCTCTGGGAGCCTTAATTCCCCTCCACTTTCTCTCTTCTAGTCCACATACCCTTTGAATCCCCTTTTTCCTTTTGGATTTAAAAATGAATTTCAGGTGAGTTTAGATTGAACTTTTGAGGGTGGTATGGTCTTTCTCTCACCCACCCCACCCACCCACACCCACCCTTCTCCTTTTTTTTTCCTTCTTTTTTTGCCTCCTTGAAGTCTTATCCATTTTACGTCCTGACTCAGATTTGTATTTATTTAGAAGTCCTACAGTCATACATCTGACCGCACTGCGTTTTGTCAGTGCAAGAACCGTCAGCAGCGTGGAACCATTTAAACAGGGAAAATAACCCTACTGATTTCTTCAGGATTTATTAAGTGCTACCCTACAGCCAGGTGCCCTCTCGGAAATGGCATCCCTTGTTTAAAAGGTTGCCGTTGCCACCCCATCTGCCACTTCCACAAAAGAGGTGAGCATAGGATTTGCTTTTCATGCCTAGAGACTCCCGTCCTCTGTGCTCTTTTCTAGATTTAGCAAAATTCAATGATGGTGCTAAATCAATTTTTTTTTAACTTTCAAGGGAGAAAACACTGGCAGAATTGTGTTTTCTAGGGGAAGCTGTGTGTAAATGAGAAACAGAGGAGAGCAGCCGAGTGATCTCCTGTGGCCCCACTACTACAAGCTCTTCCCATATTGTCTCCTGCTTTTATATTAATTACAACTTGCATTATCAGCTGTGAGTCTGTAGCCCAGCAAATAGAAAATACTGCCCCTGGAGACCTAGCTTCTTGTAGCTATTTTCCATCTCCCTCTGTTGTGCTCCACTCGGTCTTCCCTGCCTTTCTGCCGGTAACACTGCTCTTTTAATGCAATTACGGAAGAGCAAAAGTACCAAATTTGACTCCCAATTATTAAGGCCACTGGGAATCGAAGCAGGTTCACTCCCTGCCCTCTGGTGTCTCCGTGATGCTGTGGGCTGGAGAACGGAACAGATCTCATGGAATGCATGTATCTGAGTACTCTCCCACACACCTGCACACAGAGAGTGTGTCTCTTTATTTTTCTACGTACGTCATGTATTTTTACATGCTTTCCTCTGCCACGCTGGCTTCCGGATTCATGAAACTTCTGCATCTCATTTGGCAGAAAGCCAGGCAGTTATTCTTGAAGGATGTAAACTTGGAAACTATCTAGGGAAAGAAAAAATAAATAAATAAATAAAAGGAGAAGAAAAGCCGTATGCTACAAATATTTTAATCTAAGGGAAAAGCCAATGTTCTGGGTAGTGGGTTATGTTTTGTGTGTCCTTGTGAGTTATGATTTTTGTTAACGGCCAGGGGGGTGTTTTACTGACTAGACTATCCATAGTTGCCTTGCATATGCTCGTGTCACCTGTACAGCAGCTGAATCTGGACAACTTTAGTGATAACTCCTGGGCCTTGAAACCCCGGAGGGAAGGAGTATGTCCTCCCTTCAGATTCCATAAACAACATGTGATAGGCCTTAGTGTGAATCAGTCTCTTGAACTGGACCGTGAAACGTGGGGCCCTCCGTGGAAATAAATGTTCTACGACACGTTTGTAGGACAGCATTTTTGAGGACAAGGGAGGGGCGCCTGAGAGACACAAACCGTTCTGCGCTCCCCTGCTGACTGCGTGCTCCACTACCAGTCAAACAGCCGCATTTCTAACCCCCCAGAGGAACCTTGAAGATAGGCCTGGCAGTCTCCTTCCAAAAGGCCACATGCACAGCAGCAGCTCTGCCTTATGGAGCAGTTCAACGCCACACGGACAACTCACAACAGCAACGAAAGAGGAAGGCAGTTGGGGACATGTAGATTAGCAAATAAACTTGTACTACTACAGGGACTGGGCTGAAAAGCCAAGGCCCAACACATTCGAAGGAAGCAGCTGCTTTGAAGGTAATGCTTTGCTCAGATGGCTTATTTGTCGGACCTTCCCAACCCTACACCCCCACCCCACCCCCAGCTCCCCTTTTCAGAAAAGCCCTCCTCTGGAAAACTGTCAGAAGAGAGGCCTGACTTTCAAACTCAGCACAGGGCTGAGTGACAGAGGCAAACCAGTGTTTCCAGTGGCAGGAAGTCCTCCGTGATCCCTTCCAATCACTACAGTGCCCAAACAGAAAGGCTTACGCCAGCCTCATTTGAACGATTATATGATAGCTATTGGATGACATTTGCTTTAAAACATAGTTGAGGTGTTAGTGGTTAATGATTGTAATTTTCATGAGGGGTAAGGAGCTTTTATAGCAGCTGGCTTAATAAAAGAGCCTGCAGTGCATAAAATTAACGTCACTTGCTGTGTACCCTGAAAAGTTTAGCCTAGGTGAACGTGTTGCAGTTACTGCGTTTTCTAGAAGAAAGTGCTAGCCAGTGTTGGTGCAGGACAGTGAACGTGTTGCAGTTACTGCGTTTTCTAGAAGAAAGTGCTAGCCAGTGTTGGTGCAGGACAAAACTCGCGGCATGCTGTTGTGTCTTTCGTTTTGTGTGTAACCCTTCTAGCTCTTTATCTGCTGCCGTCCGGCCAACAGTTGGCGGAAGAGGCTGGCAGAGCTGGAAGAGCCCCTTCCCTGTACTCTGTTTGCCTTCAACTTGAAACTATTAGAAAGGTTTCTCACTTTGATAAAAAGAGAGCTCACACACATGGCTGTGTCTTAATACAGGCAGCAGAGAGCCTCGGTTTGCATTTTATTCTGTACAACGTCATTTCCTCATATCCCTTCGAAAGCATTTCAGGAATCCATACCTGTGCCGTGTGTATAGCTATGGAATTCTGCGCCTTGTTTTCACTGGGAATCAACTGCTTGCCTGGTGGCAGTGCCGGTAGCATTATTTGAAAAGGATGTTATGCATCTGTAGAATTTGGGCTTATTTCACCTCTCAAACACGCCAGGTAATCATTTACAATCAGTTTGCAGTGGGCTCACAGAATGGGAAAAAACAAGTTTTTGTTATTGATGTTGCTGTCCCAAATAAGAATAGTTTCTCGTTTGGTCTTTACCTTTGTTTCTTGATTTTTTGTTGGTGAAAGTTTGTGTTCTGTTTGTGCGCTTCTCCAGTTGATGGTGGGGAAAATGTAACCTGACTCCCAGACTACTGCCCACCCCTGGACATATGTGCCCAGGACACACAGCAAGATGACTTTCAGATGATCGTGACGTTTGTATGTGTGTTGTCCGTGTGTCTGTCTGTCTGTATCCTGACTTACCAATTCTTGTAAGCATTAGTGGCATACTTTGAGAAATCGATGATGCTCTGCAATTTTTCTCTTCCTTCCCCCTTCTGCCCCCACCCCACCCCCCACCCCGAGGTGCTTGCCAGTGGGTCTGTGGGCCTCCTTGGAGTTGTCACATACAGGTGACAAGCGTGTCGCTCTCCCTTAAAGGCTGGCCTGTCTCACGTGTTCCTGCTCCATTTCTGCCAGAGGAAATTCCAGCTCTCGCCTGCCTTCGTGCGGTGCTGATAAAGTCCTTCCTGTGCATTAGAATTCCTGTTTTCCTTTAAGCAACAGCAGGGTATTGGGAATGATCAGGAAAGGGGAGGAGGGACAGGAGAAGAATACGCTCAGCAAAGCAGTGAGAGCTACAGCTCTGTTTGCCTTGCATGCCCTCTGAAACAAGTAGTCCTTCCAGGAACAAGAATTGCTCGGTGAATGTAAAGCTTCCATGTGGCGCAAGTGAAAGGTCTATCGGTTTCCTAGCAGGCTAGCGGTTTGCGTCTGCTTTATTTATTGGGTTGCTGTTTGTAAAAATTAAAAGATAAATGAGCATCTTTTTAGGTATCGAGGCAGTGATTAATAGTGTTGTGTCTGTTGGTTATTTAATCAGCGTGGTGATAATTTGGAGAGTGTGTTAGGGCAATGCGTCTGAAATCTTCAAGGACTGTCCAGCACGTTCTCAAGTCTGTGTTTACTTTATTTTTTTTTTTTGAAGAGTGCCCTTGGATGTTGTAGCTAGTTAATGTTCTGACATGTTAGTATCGAAGTGATGGGGACTATATTTTTTTTCGTTTTGAAAACTGCCCTATTTAGGATAGTAAGAGTAAAAAGTGTATGTTGGATTTCTAGAAAACTTTGTTATATTTCCTTATACGAAATGTTATAATGTATACAAAATGTAATAATGTATCTCTTGCTGAAAAGATGCTGCAGTCTAGAATGGCATCTGGTTCTGCCTTGTTCCACCGATACTAACACGTGCACTTCCCCCTACCCCTTCTTTCTGACCCTGCCCTCTTGGCTCCTCACTTGTGGCTGAACTGGTCGCTCTGGAAAAATTCTTCGGTGTGCTGACATCAGAACCCTTCCTCTTGGCGAGACCATGATGACGCAACTTCCACCCACTCAGCTGGCACCCCAGGGCCCTCCAGTGGGGGCCACGCTTCTCAGAGTGGAGACAACAGCAGCGAACAAGGTAAAAGGTCCAGCATTTTCCTTGTGTTAAGTCCGCATGACTAAAATAACTATTTTGTCATCAGTACATCTTCTTTAGTGTGAAGAGAAGAATCGCAGGTTAAGAGGCATCATCAGCTCTTCTTTAGAGAGACACAATTTCCTCTTATCAATCCACATTATTTAAAAAAAAATCAAATCCACGTGAGCTGTCTAATCTTTAAGTAGACATTGCAATAATAATTGATTCGTTCTGCCAATTCTTTTACAAATTTGGTTATCTACACTTTGCCTCTGTGTATGTAAGTAAATAAAACCGGAGACCTGCTTTGCTGCTAGGATGCAGTCATGTGAATTTTACTGAGTACTGGATAGTTTGCCTGTAACATCAGCTGTCAGAATTCTCTGTAACCAAGCCACTGTGCCTAGAAAACACACGAGACACACAAAGCTCTTCTTATTAGCTCCAGGACAAGTGTACAACTTTTATGTGGAATCTTATCTTGGGAAAATGGTCTTTGAAATTCTTAGAATGTTATTTATTCCCATTTCTATTCAGCTGACATGGTGACTTTTGTCACAAATCCTAAAAATTAGAATAATCAGAGGGCAAGGGGGACAACATCTGCAGATGGCAAGAAAGCCTAGTGCAATTTAGAATACATGTGACCGTTTACAACTCACCTACTGCAAAGAGTGCAATTATCTATTGGTAGGGAGGACTCCTCTATGGCTAAAATGATCATTTAAAGGGAGATACATTATTGAATGCAGGCCAGGAAAGTGTATAGATTTTACTTTTTAATATTTTACATTAGATGGTGTCTGATCTCCTAGGTCTATTCCATCTCTATTATGACTGTGTTTATGGCCACAATATTTAAACATTAGACAGGCTTCCATGCCCGGGACAGTTTAACAGCCTGAGCTGTAGCCATATCTGCTCTCCGAAACAGGGAGGTGGATGCAGGGTGGGCCTTCACTTCCCCAAGTTTTTTTTTGGGGGGGGGGGTGTTGAATTTCTAGGGTTCTTCTAGAGTCTAGAACATGTCCTTTCTCAGATGTCACTGACTTTAAACGGGTACAGAATCAGAATCTGGGTTTTAGCAGTTTGCAAAGATCACAGAGATGGGTGCTGTCAGAGGGCAAATTAGGGAGGAAGTGGTGAATTGGATCCATTTAGGCTGTCTGTCTGTTTCCATTAGTCTGGTTAGATTGCACATGAGAAAACAAAGCTATTGGACACGTGGAAGATAACGTGCACATAACTGGATCGGCAACCCCATGACTCAGTTACAAGTCCTGGTGATGGGGAGCTGGCTAAATCTGGAAGACTTCCTAGGAGTCCACTCTCTCCTCCCCACTGCAAATAACGATTTAAGAAAAAGGTGAAACGCACCTATTACTAAAAACCAAAATACCCTAAACATTTTACAACAGAGGGGAACAGGAGAAGCAGACTTAGTGGTCTAATGAGGCTCTCTTCCAGAGACTTGTTGTAAGCGAGGCTCGCTTTGACCTTTCACTTTGCTCAGGAGCCCAGAGCTTCATTTTTCACATTCTTGCAATTACGTTAACGCTTCAAGCATTTCTGATTCCAAGTCAGCTAGCAACACCAGGCATAACTCAACACTGTGAGTTTTTCTCCTCTCTGTAGATTCATTAACAGGTCACCGAGGTCCCAACTGAAATTTAAAACTGACTGGTTCTGTTGGGTTAGTTGAGTTATGGCCTGGGAGATAGCAGGAAAAGGCCAGGGGGAAGGGGAGGAGGCAAAGGGAAGACCTTGTGGTTGGGGACAGAGAGTAAGTGGCGGCAACAGGCAAAGCATGAAGTTTTATCATTTTGTTAAGAGTTTTTATTTTTCTAAATTTTTGGTCTTGGTCCCGAAGGTGAAAGGGTTCTGAGATGGATGGACATTCTGGGTTAAAAGAATATGTACAAACCTCTCTATTGTGGGTAGCTGCACCCACTTATCCGATGTTGAAGGACTTGATCCCTGCAGGATTCTGTTCCTTTAATCATATCTCCACGGGATTACAGAACCAACATGGTAGCTTATCTGGACGAGTACTAGGGAGTTAGACCTCTCACTGTATTACAGTTTGAGGGGAAGTACAATTTTTCAAAAGCAGGAATGATTCCTATAAAATGGACAATGATTTGACATGGAGAGTTTCTTTACCTGGCTTACTCCCTACATGAGTGGCTCCAAAAACATGTGTGTGGGCATTTTGGCTTTGTTTTGCTTTGTTTTTGTTTTCAATCAAGGACTCTGTAAATCTTAGAGTCCAGACATGAGTGTATTTTGTCACACTCATGCCTACATTCGTCTTTTCAACATTTCTCCCAGTTATTTTGGTATTTGGCCCCACCGAATTGTCCAGAGCAGCTTTCTGTGGGCAAGATTAATTATCTGCTCCAGGGCAAAGTCAACAGAGATATTGACTGAAAGCGCATGTGCTTATCCTAGGTTAAATCTTAGAGTTGAGTGTCATGGAAAACCTAAGAGGGGAAAACTCAGGTGCTTCGTATCAAATACATTATAATGTATCATTGAAAACCAAGTTTGGAGTTTAGAAAAGAGTTTTCTTGCTTACTCAGAATTTATTAGCACAACAGGCATATGGAAAACTGTAAAACGATTCAGTTTCAAAACAAATTATGATAAACAGAAAAAATAGAGAGGAATTGTACTAAATACAATGTTTTCATACACATTTTAAATTAAACTTTAATAGCCATATGCTATAAAACAATACATGCATTTATGTTGCTTTATACTTCCTGTGAACATCCTGCTATAATGGTTATATACAAATCTTTACTTTGGAACCAAAAAATGCCTCATTTTATGGCCTGATAGTGAATGAGCTACAGTTACACAGGTGAAAGGTCATCGTTTCCTCATGTTTGTGCAGCAAACTGAAAGGAATTGGGGGGGGGGGGTGACAATTGACATTTAAAAATAAGATCAGAAATAAACTTGGTAAAACTGTAAAACCTGACTCCACTGCACCTTTCAAAGAGCACACCCTTAGCCGTCAGCTATATCGATATGAACCAGACTTTTCAGTCCCCGTGATTTCAGCTACTAGGGTCAGCCGAAGGAGGGCGTGTGCCTGGCTAGTCATCTTCAAATGAGGAAGGACATCTGCTTTTTCAACGCTAGAATTAGGGTGCAGACTTGGGACTCGGGGGTGGGTGGGTGGTGGAGTAACTGGCTCTCTTTGTATCTGGTTTCCCATCAGTACAATGGGGCTTGATAATAAGGCAGGCTTGGGGTCCCTAATTCTGTACCTGCTGAGTCAAAGGCTGCTTTGTACTTCACTGTGTGTTTTTCCAGAGTAAAGATGAGGAAGCAGCCCCCTCGTTCATAGAGCACTTTGAGAGCCCTCGATGAAAGGCACAATAGATGTGCAGAGTATTATTATTATTGATGGGTTTGTGTAGCTCCCATTAACGCTGATGGGAGTTACGCATGTGAATTGGCAGGAGAATAGACCCCTCAGTGTTTAGAGCACATGAAATTTACATTTTTTCCAGTGCTGTAATTGAGATGTTGACAAATTGGAGAATATTGATGAGCCTTTGTTTTAAGTATTTTGTGCCAAGTTTGTTTTATTTTCCCCTGGTTTGAACAATGGTATGGGTTCAGCAGCGATGAATAAAAAGGGTAGGTAAAGATAACTTTGTGTTTCAATATTTTGATTTGCCAATATGAAATAAATTGTCTTAGGCAAATGGAATATGCCGTTTTAATCATTAGCTATGCATGAAAGAAAAATTGATGTTGACATCTTTGCTGTAAAATCGTTGTAATGGGGCCTTCCTTACAATTCATTTTTGTAAAATTCATTTTGTACATTTTGCAGCAATTGAACAATCCCAGCGCTGTGAATAGGCAGGATTCCCAGAAATACCGAGACAGTTGGCCCAGTAACTGCTGAGCTCACACTGCACCCCACACGCACGTTAACCATACTGTTGCCAGACCCAGTTTAACCTAAATTCACTCGCTTTCTAGCCTTCCTGCGTCTGATCTTTCAGGACACAGGGCCCTCAACTCTGTCACCTACCAAGCCCTTTCACTGATATTCTCCTCCCACGGCCAGGCACTGAGGCTAGAATTCGATCGCTAGGTATTTACTTATTTATTACACAGCTCTTCAGTAATAAGGGTGTTGAAGTCTACAAACACCCCTCTTATATGGACTTACGTGTGGATGGGCAAAATGAGTGTCCAAAATAGTATGATATTATTTGGGCTTATGGCCTATAATGTGTGCTATAGTTAAAAAGTATCCCCACCCCCCTCCGTAAATAATTCCCATGTATAGGTTTAAAGTAGAGGCAAACAAAAACTTAAGCCCTGCATTCTATGGATCCTGAAGATGTTCTACTGGGGTTTCTTGTTCAGTCTAGGAAAACTCTGTCAATGGAATGTTTTCATCGTGGCGGCGGCCTCTTTAAAATAACCCTAAATACAATATGACAGATGCCATCTGGCGTAATCTTTTGCTAGTTGCTTTTAACTTTTATTTTTCCTAGAGCTAAGTTCATCCCAAACTGGTCACTTACTGTTAGGGTAAACGCAATGACGTTTCCTTTCCTTCCTGTCTTCTAATTGTATCAAACGTTTTCTCTGGGAATATAATTGATACTTAAACAATACCACAGGAGAAGCTGTGTATATGGAACATTTATGTTCCATTGTTTTCTTTGTCACCTATCCCCTCCCCAGCCCCCCATAACATGGAAAAGATGCCATTCATTAGCGCGATCAGTGAACATTCAAACGATTTCTGTTGGTTTTCTTAGGGCTTTTTAGAGCAGCAACCATTAGAAGTAAAATTAAACTCTTCTAATAAATAAATGATCTGGGAGCATGTAATCGTGCCCATAAATGCTTAAAAGCTTTCTTTAATTGCTGTTAATTTTGAGTAATTTCTTCCTATATGTATCAACTTACTTGAAAAACCTGGAGTTGGAATTTCTAGATTTTTTTTAACTTAGTATGTA